GAGTGCGTTTGCGATAAAGTTGAAATGCTCGCTTTATAGATTAAAGCAATCTAGACATATATGACACCCGCCTAAGTGAATATCTGACTGGGAAGGGATATAAGAACAATGAACTGTACCCATGCGTATATAAAAAAAAATGAGTTTCAGGTCTTCAATCATAACTTTATATGTCGATGTTATGAACATAATAGACACTCTTGATGAAATAAGGGAAGTCATACTCTACTTGAAATCTGAGTTTGAAATGAAAGATCTTGGGAAAACTTGGTTCTGTCTAGCTATTGGAGCTTAGATACCAAGCTTGTGGAATATTAATCCACTGATCCGCATATGTCCAGAAAACGATCAGACGATTTAACATGGACAAAGCGCATCCGACTAGCACTCCCATTGTTGGTCAAAATGTTGGATATAAGGAAGATCTATTTCGTCTAAAGGATGATGACGAAGAGGTGTTTGGAGCTGGAATTCCATATCTAAGTACAAAAGGCGCATTAATGTACTTAGCACAATACATTTAACCATATATTATATCTCTTAATAAACTTGTTAGCTAGATTTAGCTTAGCACCAATGCAACGTCACTGGAATGATATCAAATTAATCTTTTGGAACCAGTGACGTGGGATTATACTTTCCCTACATAAAGAAAAACATGATTGAAATGGAACTTTAGTACCTACTTAGATAGTGAACGAAAAAGTACTAACCATTACCAACAAACAACAAACAATGTCTTGATATGTATTTGCTGATATAAGGTATTTATCTGACTCATACAAAGGTTTTTCCTAGACTGAATAAGGAATTACCATAAGGAACATATGCCAATTGCTTGGAAATAAACTAAGAAAACCCTTGTAGCTACCACTTTGAACTATTCCAACATGAGACTGCTCAATAATATACATGGTTAAGGACTATCATTACACATATTAGAGGAGCTACTGTTTTGAGTTCATCCAATACCCTGCCTGCATTTATGGAAATGATGCATCATGTATCAAAGAATTGAAAGTAAGCTACATCAAGGGTGATAACACAAAACATATTTTGCTTAAGTTTTTATACAATCAACAATAACAGACTCTCCTCAAGATTCAAGTAAATAAAATAAGATGCGAGGAGAATGTGGCATATTTACTTACCAAGTCATTACCTAAAACCAAATATGGGAACATGTAGAAACGGAACGCATAAACTTTCCAAACTCCAGTTGCTAATGCACGAATTAGAAGGAGTAGTAGACAAAAGAGCGAGTCTATTATATATGTAATATTGGTATGTTGTGTTCTTTGCTTCACCCAAGGTTTTTTTCCATTAGGTTTTATTACTTAGTGTAAGGGTTTAGTAGGGAAACAGTTTATATGCCATCCTGTTTTCCTAACTCTCGTGATTAATGAACGAAATTGAGAGAATATTATACTAAAGAAAAAATTTGTATATTTCAAAGAAACTAGTGCGTCGTACTATTTCCTTCGTCCTATTTTATTTTTTCCCACTGGGTTTTTATTTTGGCGTAAAGTTTTAACGAGACAACAACTGTGCACCATCACTCCTTTGACTCGGCACAAGGGGGAATGTTGTAGGATAAGTGTAACATTGTCTAAATGATATGATGATAAAGATAGAGATAGACACATAAGAGTTAGATTACAACTGAAATGTCACGTAGTTATCTACATGTAACTCATCCATATATAAGGGACTTATGATTAATTAGAATTACAAATTCTTTCTCTCTATTATATTATTGTTCCATTTCGTTTATACTATAATACAGTTAAATATATTGGATAAGTTTAGTTCGTAGCTTTTTGTTATTTTACCTTCTCGCAAAGTTACAACTGAAGGCATGTGCAACAATGTCAAGACTTAAGATGACAAAAATGGAAAACAACAAAAATTGCTTCTTGGCTGTGATAGGTTTATATGTAAATAGTCCTTTTATTTATGCTCATGTTATGTTTCAAGTCCTTTGAGTTTTAACAATAAGACTATATTTGGCAAACTAGCTGATAAGTTATCTGGTAGCTCATAAACTGTTTGACAAAACTAGCTGATAAACATGTAAAATAACTAAATATGTCATCTTCAAACTGATTGTATGTGTGTGTGTCTTACATAAATTTTGATTTTGTTAAAATAAATTTTAGAAAAAATCTACTTAGATTTATAATTTTAAATAACCATTACATATAATGACGAAAGATCGTGAAAAAAAAAGAGTTAAGCTGAGAAGCATAAGAAGAGATTTGAACCCTTGATCAACTTTAATCTCAAACTCACTTATGAATCATGCTTGATACGAGGATTTATCCAGTGCATCTCATCCTAGTGCATTTATATCAAAAATCTCCATTTGTACAATAAATCACTAAAGGTTCACATTCTTGAGATTTGCTTATCAAAATATCCAAAAACCCATATATAGATATTTCACAAGATTTACTAACCCAAATTTACTAAATATGCAAACTTCATCAAATACTCAATACATATGATATACATAAAGTAAAACACTTTGATACTTCAAAATACTCATGTTGGCATGGATAGAGTTTTTACAAAACAACTTGAATTCACCTTGTTAGATTTAGACTAAATCTTGGTTTTAGTTTCTTGAGCTTCCTTGGCAAAGAGCTTAGATCTCCAAGCTAAACTTTTAGATCTATTGTGTATAGCTTCTCAAGAACACTTTATTTACTTTGAAAACATACACCAACAAATCAAATAGAATAAATTAGGGTTGGGGTGAAAAGATCCAAACCTTAGGTTAAGAGATAATTGGATAAAGGTTGACCTTTCGACCTATAGGAACCCAACTCTTCAAGGAAACTCCAATCCTTTTTGTATTTCTTGAATAGATTCCAAATACAAATTCATAGCAACAAAAATCGCACAAAATGGAGTAGAAACGTAGAAGTTATGGCTAAAATGAGAAAGGTCCCGTTATCCAGTCTTTTTGTGCAGATCAGGCCTCCACAATAGTTTCACCGCTAGTTAAACTAGCGTGGAAACTAGTCAGAGAATAAAAATTAGACTTCTAGAGTCTGGCACTAGTTTTGAAGTGAGTTTAACTCACTTGACAACTAGCTTGACACTTTATTGTGTTTTAAGCTGATTTGTGACTTCTCAAGTGACCAAATTGCATGGGAGGTCCCTTAATGCCCCAGATGATTTTCAATACAACTTTTCTTCATCCCAACACAACCAAGACTCTTAATTCAAATACCACAAACATTCAATAATGGTTGGACACTGAAAACACGGATGTTACACCTTGGTTGTTTTTCATGAAAATTATGTATTTGAACTTGAAATCCTTTATTCTTCAAATTTGCTGCATCACTCTAACATTTGTAAACGTTTTCTTCAAGTTGAATGAAAACCAATTTCTTAGCATTGTTATGAGTGGAAGCATAGAAAAGAACACAAAGAATGCTAATGTATATGCCAAACCAATTGAGTTTTGAAGAACAAAGCAAAATGACCAGAATACTCTCATGTAAGGGCCATATGACTGTATTTAAAGAACAATAGATGAAGTTCGTTGCTGATAGGGACCAAATTTGTAACAAAGTACATCTTTGAGGAAGAAATCTGTATTAAAAGAAGCCAAGGGACGAGGAAAAAAATTCGACATACCCCACAGACAAAATTGTAATATACTCTTTATATAATTTAGGGGTTGTTCGGTTTAGGCTTAGTAAAACCTACATAGCCTTTTTCCTCAGTCATAAGTGGTTGTTCGATTATAGCTTAACCTGGAACTCAATAGCTTAGTCGGTCAGCCAGAATAAGGCACTTGTTTACAATCAACAGACCATTTTCCCTCACTACCCTTGGGAAAAAAACACGTCCTCTTCCTTAGATCTATCGCTGCTCCTCCTCTTGCCCGCACAAATAACAAATCGACCCTTTCAAATCAGTAAGATTAAGATACAAATTGATCCTCTCAAATATGTTCTCCATCTGCTTTTTGTCTCCATCGTTGCAAAAACGAAGAAACATGGAGATCACTCCCATCAACGTTGTATTCGTCACCCTTCCCTCATATGTTCTTCATCTTTCTTGTTTGATTATGGTGGCAATCGGACCAATGTTTTTTTTTTTTGGGTTTCTTTCTGGGTTTCCTTCTAGTTCAAGCCTTGGATCCATTGTTTTTTTTTTGCCTCGTGATTTTGAGTTTGATGTGAGTTTCTGATTTGATTTAGGGTTTAAATTCAGTTTTTGATTTAGGTTTATATTGTTCATCCTCCTCTCTTGTGGTGATGAAACAAGCATCTCAAATCGATTTGTTTGATGAAATGACCCTCTCAAAATCGGAGGAGAAATCGATTGGTTTGGTTATATGGGAGAAATCGATTGGTTTGGTGGTTAAATTGGAATTGGATGTTCAATGTAAAAACAAAGGGTAAAATAGTAATTTTCACTATTCAGACGGTTTGTTCAACATAACAACCGAACAATAGCTTATCAATATCATATAGACAACTTTATCACAACCGAACATCCTTGAAAATTGTTTGTTGATTTCACAGTTTTAACTTCATTATAAAATAATTGGTTTTGATGTTACATGTATGATCATACTCTCTTGTGTCATGGTTATGTAATCACAATCAAACAATTTATTGAAGGTTTCTAAACATATTTTTTTACGTGACTCCGGGCTACCTGCAAAGCATGTGGTTGTTCTGTTATTAGTCAACTCGCAAAGTAGGTTAGATATCCAGGTTAATAAAAAAAACCGACATAAGAAATTAAGAACCAATTAGAGGCAAGGGTATTAGTGATACCTTAAAAGGTGAATATGGCAAACCCCAAACTTTAGGGACCAGAAATAGAGTCTTAAGACAAGTCCAGGGACGACTTGTGTCAATAACTCCAAAACTTAAGAGATATCCCCTGCATCGCCATTCGTCAATGCCATGAACAAAGCTCTATAAATGTAACACCGTGAGGCGTCAGCTCAGGACAAACATCACCGCTCTGAGATGAAAACCGAAAGCCCCCAAGGCCAGAGCTTCCACAGGTTCTTCGACTCTTGGCTCGTCGAGTTACATAACAACCTTGAACAGCTCGTCTCCGCCGCCAACCGCCACCACGACGATGAACATATTCAGGACAACTCATCAGTTTTAAGCCCACTGATTGAAAAAACCGTGGGGCACTACGAGGAGTACTACAAGGCTAAATCAGATGGTGCAAAAGGAGACGTGATTTCCATGTTTTCGCCAACGTGGCTGACCAAGCTCGAGGATTCCTTTTTGTGGATTGCAGGATGGCGACCGACAACGGCCATCCACCTGCTGTACTCCAAGTCAGGAATCCAGCTTGAAGGCAGAATCGCTGACCTAGTCCCGTTGTTGCCGGTAGGAGATTTAGGAGACTTGACTTCGAACCAGATCAACCAAATCGATGAATTACAGAGGAAGACCGTCCGTGAAGAGAGAAAGATAAGTGAGAAAATGGCGAAACTGCAGGAGTCGGTGGCAGACACTCCCATGGTGAATCTATCCAACGAGGAATCCGAGAAGAACAGGAACGGGAACGACGATGGAGGGAGGAACGGTGATCGCAAAGTGGATTCGGCGCTGGAGCCGAAGAAGGATGAGTTAGAAGAAGTGTTACACAAAGCAGATGGTCTGAGAATGGAAACATTGAAATCTGTGGTGGAGATACTGACGCCGATGCAGGCGGTGTACTTTTTAATCGCGGCTGCTGAGCTGCACCTCCGGCTACATGATTGGGGCAAGAAGAGCGACGCGGTTTAGCTGTCTTCAATCTCTATACATGCTCGTAGTACATCCGATCGAAGCTACAAATCAAAGCAAAAATTTAAATCAAATGTACGAACAATCAATTAGCTTAAATCACCCTCTGTACTCGTCTAAGACCAGATCTAGATGACTCAAATAAACCGTTTTCAGTTTAATCACTCCTCTTTTTTTCTTAATCGATCTAGTCAAATACAAACAAAAATTGAACAAATTCTATGGCGATTTACTAATAACCGAGTAGTGATCATTCATTCAGCTTACGATTAATATCTAGGAATTCAAACCAGAGATGTATAATAAAAAATCAACTAAACGCCTTTTCTGCAAACTCAACATTCCCGACAAATTAACAATAGATAGGTTGGAAATTGTTGCTGAACCCGAATACAGCCAAATTAAACAATCACAAACATGAATGATGAACCTAGAAGAAGGTAACATACCAGTAGTACAGAATTCAGAGACGATGAATATGTTCGGATACACAATTTCCGAGAATTTGAATGATCCCATATACGACAAGTAACATCCTCATCCTCTGTAGCAGAAGAGAAGCACAAAATTACAGATGCTTGCAAAGTAGTCATTATCACAAAAAGAAACCATACCTGTTGATCTGTGTGTGTGTGTGTGTGTGTGAAACAAAGTCTCTCTGAACAAAGAAACCGTGTGTGTCCTGCGTGAAGTTTTAAGAGTGGAAGGAAAGGATGATACGGCAGCACAGCATTTTGAACATTGACAAGGGTGTGGTGAATAAAGGAGTTATTGTTTATGCTTAGAAACGTGTTGTAAATCGTAATTCACTTTTAACAAAATAGATCACAATTAACACTTAATAGTTCCTGGAGAAGCATTGGGCCGGGGCGGCGTGGGACCGAGAGGCGAGGGGCGGGGCTGGGTTGGGTAGTCGGCAGGGGTCTAAGGGCGGAGGCGGGGATTTAAAGGACCTCCCATGCAAATTCCATTGTCACGACCCTTTAACCTTGTGTATCTTGTTGTTACCTATTTATATTTTCCCAAGGCTAATCACATTCACATGTATAAGTTCCGTTTACCAAACACTTACGCGGTAAGTCCTACCAGTAAAATTCAACACTTTGTCTATCAAAGAGGCATCGTGTGCAACAATTTACCCGGTAAACGCTAACCGTGGTAAGAGTCGGTGCTTCACTTACCATGTAAGCCTCTCGTTCCTCACCTCCGTCTTACCAGGTAAAATTCTTGGTGTTTGTCATATTCATCGGTTAAGTGCTTAACTGAGTAAGTATTTGGTAAATGGCCCCAAAATATGGCACTTCCATTTTGTCAAGCACTAGCCTCTTCAATAACACCTCTCCTTTAACCAATATATTCTAAAAAACACTTAGATGTAGGGTGTCATTTACGTTACTGGGTGAACATGACAATGATAAAGAGTCTTACTTGGTAAGAAAAAGAAGAAGATTTTAACCTGGTCAAAGCAATTCTAATCGTACGTTAAAACAGCGTGCATGCTTGTCTTTAAACTCCAAATCGCCGGCAAAGAGAACTTGATTTTGCCCGAGATGGAAGAGACATGGAAAATATGCCGGCCTCCTGTTGACACGGCATTTGGAGATGTGGCGATTTTTGGCGTCCATGGCCCCACCAATTTGCAGTTCTTTTTAGTGCTAGGGTTGGAGTTGCTCTTAGCGTTTACGAGGTAAGAGATGCTTGCCAACAATCTTTTGTAATAGGAAAATGTCACATGATAAGGTAAGTGAGGATGACGACTTTTGCCAATACGCAAGGCTTGCCAGGAAATCGATCAATGGATGCTATTCTTATCAAGAAACTATCCTTACAAATCCAAATGGGCGTTATAAGCTTCCATCTCGATTGTCTTCTTGTTCGGAATTGAGGAAGTTGAAACCGGAGAACTGAATCTTCATGCCACCACTCAAGTTTGAAGGATTTCTGAATCTTGAAGATCTATTTTCTCAAAAATATTGATTTTAGGGATAGCTCTTGTGGAATCGTGGTTACTTCACCACAGCTTTGGAAGTTGTCCTTATATTCATGCACAAATGTCTACAACTTCAACATCAGTGCTCGGAAACTGGAAGCTTTGGTTATCGACATGCTACAATAAAATTGGTTTTATAGGACGCCCACAATCTCTAAGTGTCCCAATAGACCGTTTTATAAGACTTAATTTATAGGACCAAAATATAAAGTGTCATGTTCAAAGGTGTTGTAGTAAGTTTATATGACGCTTTTGGGTGTCTTAACAAGTTTTTGAGAACATTTTTAATACAAAATGTCGCATTAGCAACTTTATAGGACAMTTTTGAGAGACTGTCCTATAAACTCAATTTTTTATAAGACACTTGTTTTTATAGGACAATTTTTCAAATAGTGTCCTATAAAGTTGCTAATGGGACGGTTTATATTAAAAGTGTCATAAAAAACTTATTACGACGTTAAAAAAACGTCATATAAATTTATTACAACGCGACGCTTTATTCTTTTGGTCCTATAAACTAAGTCTTATAAAGAGGTTTATTAGGACGCTTAGAAATTGAGAGTGTCCTGTAAACCCGATTTTGTTGTAGTGATCATCGTCTTTCACAATGTGCTAGTTTGTTTGTACATTATCTCATTTACTTGTGTTGACGTTTGTTTTGATCTCGAAGGGAGTGTTACAAAGATGGTATCCAAGTTTAGGTTTCAATTTTTGTAGATTAGTAACCGACATATAAAATATTACATTCACTACAACAAAATCAGGTTTATAGGACACTTCTAAATTTAAGCTTCCTAATAGATCTTTTTATAGGACTTAGTTTATAGGACCAAAAAAATAAAGTGGCATATCTAATGGTGTTGTATTAAGTTTATATGACATTTTTTGATGTCGTAATAAGTTTTTTAGGACACTTTTAATATAAAGCATTCTATTATCAACTTTATAGGACACTATTTGAAAAAATGTCCTATAAAAAATGAGTTTATAGGACAATTGCTCAAAAATGTCCTATAAAGTTGCTAATGCGACACTTTGTACTAAAAATATCCTTAAAAACTTGTTAAGACGTCCAAAAGCGTCATATAAACTTATTACAACACCTTTAGATATGACGCTTTATGTTTTGGTCCTATAAATTAAGTCCTATAAAACGGTCTATTGGGACACTTAGAGATTGGGGGTGTCCTATAAACCAAAATTTGTTGTAGTAATTTATATATAAGGTTGTACATTAAAAAACTTTAATATTCGAGACCTTTCTCACGAAGATGGTCTTTATAGTTTCAAGATCTCGACTTTATAATAAAACCACTTAACTAACGCAACCTCTGTCAAGAGAGTTAGGACAAAGGACCCATTATAGACTCAAATGTAAACAGTACTGACCATTTTCCGACTAAATAGAACAAAGTGACGCTTTTCAGATTTCTGACGTAACCACAAGTACCAAAAGTGGATTTTGCTCTAAATCCAATTCTATGTCGATAGCATATTTGAGACTTTCCACGACTCGAAGCACACTTTGGTTAACATAATATGAAATAGAAGCTGAAATAAAAAGTATAAAATCATTAAATGATAAGCAAATTACATCATAAAATTGTTCTCTACTAATTTGTACCTTTTGAAATTGATTCATTACATATTCATTTGTAACAAATCTATCTTCAACAAGCTTTAAATTAAATTAACCTTTTTTCCGGTTAAAAACCTAACGATTAACAATAAACTCTTACTTAATTTAACGTTTTATAATATAGCAAACCCTGTCAATTAATAATAAACAAAAAACTAAATCAATTTTCAACACACCCCGAGTTAAATTAATATAAAAGAGTATATTTGAAATGAAGAATCAAAATTCAAAATCATAGAAAAATTACATTAAACTTTAACTACTTCTTCATTTTATAGATTATAATATTAATTACATGGTAATAGAATATTATTTATCCGATCTAGACATTTGATAAGCATTTGGTGCACAAACCACTACTAAACAAATGGGTTTCACCGACAAATTTTTCCGGCCGGCAAATTCGTCGTAAATCGGTTGGGAGTTTGGTTTTCCAACGGATTTGGCCGTTGAAAAAACCCCATTTTTTAGTAATGGACTACATGGGACATGACTCGAAAAATAGTCTTACATTTTGACCAGACATTATACAAGAATGAGGTGAAATGATGTAGGACAAAAATATGTTGATGTGACTAAACTAGGGTTTTCTTGTTCCATCCAAACGAATGGAACAAGGACAAAAACATAAAATTATTGTTTTACCCTCCTAACTAGGGGTGCTCAAAAACCCGATGAACCCGATCAACCCAACCCGATTTAAAAAAAAAAAAAAAAACTAGCCCGAGGTAACCGGTTGATTGATTAAAAAATTAACTAACCCGACTTTATTGGGTTGAAATCGGTTTAGGCCCAATGGATACCGACCCAACCCGATGACCCGATTGGAAGCAACAAAACACACGGGAACGGGGAACCCTCTTGTTTAACCTAGCTGCTCTACTCCTTCCTAAACTCAAATCAAACACAATACAGTCGAGTAGCAGCGGCCAGCGAGCGAGACTGCGACTCTGCGAGAGCAACACATCGATTGACAGCCTTCGGCCAGCGAGCGAGACTACGAGAGCAACACATCGAGTTGTGTGTGAGTTGCGACTTGCGAGTTGCGACACAGCATTCGATACATCGATTACATACTTGAGCCAGCCTTCGATTTACACAGATAAGGTAACACAACACAACCTTTGATTTACAGTTTTACACAACTTTCTTATCGATTTACATAGCTTTACATAGAGCTTTACATACCTTCGATTTACAGTTAGACAGCTTTCTTATCGATTTACATACCTTCGATTTACAGTTTTACAACCTCAATTAGTATGAAAGTGGGCTTGGTTGTAACATATTTTACAGTCTGTATTCTGTTTTACAGCTCGATTTGCAGTCTGTATTCTGTTTTACAGCTCGATTTACAGTCTGTATTCTGTTTTACAGCTCGATTTACAGTTTTACAGTCTGTATTCTGTAACATGAGTTCATAGTTTATTTACAGTTTTTTTAACCTTATCGATTTACATAGCTTTACATAGCTTTAATGTACCTCACATATTACAGTCTGTATTCTGTTTTACAGCTCGATTTACAGTTTT